GTTATCCTGCTGTAGTCATAAAGGCATAGACATGGCCAGCAACAATGCTCAGGTAAGCTGTGGTGTTTTAAACAATGTTTGTAGTAAGGTGTCCAAAGTGTGCAAAGAAAATATCCCTCACCATTACACCACCGCTAGCTTGAACTGTTAATACGAGCAGGATGCTTTTATTTTTACACCACATTCTGACTCTAACATCTGAATGTTGCTGCAGAAAGTCCAGGCAACATTTTTCCAATCTTCTGTTGTCCAGTTTTGGTGAACCCGAGTGAACTCACTTTCCTATTCTTAGCTAACAGGGCTGGCGCCCGCTGTGGTCTTCAGCTGTTGTAGCGCAGGTGCTTTAAGATTTTACATGGTTGTGCATTGCATAGCTTTCTTGTAACAAGTGAGTTAAGTTACTATTGACCTCTGACATCGCCTCGAGAACTGTTGCTCACTGGATGTTTTCAGTTTTTCTCTGTAAAACTTTGAGATGGTTGTGTAGGAAAATCCAAGTAAAACTTGCATAAGATGTGGCCTACTTCATATAGTGAATCATATCAGGCTTACATGATTTACTCATGAAAGTGGCCACTTTCTCATTACTTTCATATATTGTTTTAGTAAGTATCCAAAACTTACAAGTTTCATTTATATAATTTTTCAAGGGATCTTATATCTGTTTTCACTCTTATATGCTTTTCATACAAGTTTCACACAAGACAGATACAAACTTTATAAGATTTATATATATATCATTTCCATATGGGATGCTACGTTCAAAGTCACTTTAATCGCCTTCCACGTTCTGGTGGTCAGTAGAAGCAGGTTGTCTCAAGCATGTCTACGTGCTTAAATGTGTTGCACTGCTGTCATGTGATCAACACAAATAGCTGATTAGATATTTGCATTAACAACGAGTTGACCTTCTGTGCCTAACAAAGTGGCCAGTGGGTGTAGATGGTTGTCACTCCATTTATTCCTATGAAAGTTGCTAAAGTAGAGATTCCCACCAGCTTTCTGACTTTGTGAAATTCGTTTTATCTGGAAAAAATGTACCAGTGTGTGACGAGTAGATGCTGCATTTTATTCATTCAGTTTGACCGTTTACATGTCTGAATGTAGATCTAGAGAGTCTGTTAATAAACTCTGGATCCTGCCAGCTAAAAGTAGAAGTTTAGAAAACACATTTGATGAAAAAACTGAATTAACATTTTGTGTTGAATAATGATCATAGTGAATTGTTTTGAGACTGGGCTATGGAGTAATTAACAAACTAGATGATCTTTTTTAACCATTAACTTAACATTAAATTGCTCAGTTCATTTGAACCTGTGTTGTGGCAGTGTAGCTATATTTAATATCCCGATGTGCTAACATTGGTTAGTAGAAACGTTTTAATCTATTGTCATTTCTGAGTGCCCCTTAAGTAATAATGTTTTTGGGAAAGTGCCTTTTGTCTTAGACTTACAAGTGCATGTAAGACAGATTTTATAACCGACTCAGCTTTAAAGCATATTTGGGTAAACAGAGCTCTGGTTCTTTGGCGTAGCAGTGGTAGCACACCAGCTGCTATGACAAGTTGAAGTGGCTACTCTGTGAAAAAGGCCCATTATGCTAGCACAATGGAGCATCATATTTTGTAAACCTTGTTTCATTTTCAGTATTATTTGTTTTTCTATGAACACAATAAAAAAAAAAAAAGCTTTGAAAAGCTGGATAACTTGACATGTTTTAGAGAGGTGAAAGATGGGCGAACGAAGAGCGTGTTACATTTCTGTTAAAACCGCAAGGTTTGAACAAATTTTGGATTACTGCGCTTTCAAATTGCCCTTCTAGTTCCTGTTTGTGATGGAGCTGCTTCAGTCGTCATAAGCATAACCCAGTTCTGCAGCTCCACTGTCACTCTGTGCTGTACCACAGACTTCTCGGAGGACTTGCTGCGTCTTATCAGTCGAAAGTGTCGGTACAAAGTGAGACAAACTGTTGGTAATCGTACACTCGACTTGTGTGTTGGGCCTTGAATTTGTTGCGTTTTTATTCAAAGATAAAAAGCCTTTAACTGCAGTTTCCAGACACATTTGTTTTGCAAAAGCAGCGTTAGAGTGGCAGGTAATACCGCTGATGTTTGCCTGTGTTCCCATGTGAGCCATAATCTGAGTGGATCGAAAGTGTTGCGTTCTGTAATGGTTGCACTCTCGATTGTGTCGCATTGTTTTTTATTTAGTTGTGTAGATGAGTCTGATAAGTACACACAGGGAGTGTTCTTTGGGGGGAGATGTCATGAGTTATTGATATGGTTAAAACAGAAAACCTAAATAAATAACCTTGCTGTTCCTTAAGCTTATAATATGAATTCACCAGCAGGAGCACAGGACTTCTCAAAGAGTACATTTTTGTTTTGGAAGAGTTTCATTCAGCAAGTGTTAATTACGTTTTTTTTAATATTGGCTAACCGATTGTTGGATTTATTAAGTGTGAAGCTTATTTACATTTTTTCTTTTCCTTGTTCTTTCCAGCTCTACCCACAGATGAAGGCCCTCCTCTGCCATGTATGAAGTTGCGCGTCACAGTGTGCTGTGCGCCCAGTGAGTACACTCCTCTTTTCATCTGTTGTTTCTTTCATGCTCACCCCCCCCGCCCCACTTTGTACACCAAGACACTCTTTTCTCTGCCTCTCACATCTCTGCTACATGGGCTGTATAGCATCATGTTTAGACTTCTGCTTATCCCCTCTAATGTACCTTCTGCTTTCTTCTCTTTTCTCTTTTTAAAAAATTTGTGCCGTAATCATTGAAACCTAACACATCTGTACGCTTCAAAATATTTATCTTTACCATATAAATGAGACAACATCTTCTAAAACACATTTTACCCCTCCCCTACTCTCTCCCTCGCTCTCTTTTTTTTAAAAATACCTTCCTCATTCTCTCTCAATCACTCTGTCCCCATCTGAAATTCCCAGAGTTGATCTAATCCAGAGCCCGCCTGGAGTAATGTTAGTCTTCCAGTCCAGTGAGCTGCCCATTCCGGTTGGGAATGTTGCCCAGTCACAGTGGGAATCCCTGTATAGTTGTCAGTGTGTGCGTGGGAGCCTTTCTATGTGTACTACCAAGTGCGCTTTTTTTTTTTTTGTTTTGGTGGGTTTCTGCATCTATGGGCCTTTGCGTGCATTCTTCTGGAGTTCAATTTGTACAAGTGTAAGTGTGTGTGTGTGTGTGTGTATACGCCCACATGCGTGTCTCAGACGCCCGTCCCAGTTCCCATCCCAGTGTTATCTGCAGGGGGTTTGTTGCGCTAACACGCACTTGTACTAAAGAAACTGGTGTCGTGGTTGTCTAATCAATCAGCACTGACTAAATTCATCAGTTTGGGAAAAAAAGAGAAGACAATTAAAGTGGAATAAAAGGAGCTCCGGCCGTCTCCGAATGGTTCTCACCGTCCTGGTGATACGGGGAGTAATTTGCTGCGTTATTACCAGAATGAAGGCTGATGACTTTTTTTAATATGCTAATTATCCTGCTGTCATTAATTAGAAATACCACAGATAGTTGTTCAGTGAGAAAATGCTAATGCAGTCTTGACCTTCTGACAGCTTTTCCCTGATCAGCCCGTCTGAGCCAAAAATAATCAAAATATTTGCAATCACCTGGATCGTGCATGCAGGGAGACATGAGTTTGACTTTACTGTAAGAATCTATTTACTTCATAGCAGAAAGACTTCCCCTTCAAAGATACACATATGTCAATGTACTGTTCCTTGTCTCATTTTTTCCCCTCTCAGCCTCTCATCCTATTTCTTAACCAAAACTAATCCCGACTAAATTTCAGGATCTCCGTCTCCTTGTCTTTGACTCCCCCCACTACTCCAACCTCCTGCTCTTTCTTTCTTCAGTCTTCTGTCATTCCTGAAGTGGCACTAATCCCCCCCTTCTCTCTGTCTCTTCAGCTCTCTCCTCCCTTCCTCATTTTTTATGATCTTTCGCTACTGGAGCAAAACTAATCTAGGCACCATCCATGGCAGTGTCTTACACGTCCTCCACCCGACTCTCCCACCCCACCCCCCCAGACCCCGCCCCACTCCACCTCCCCTATCTTTCCCGTGTTCTCTCTATCTCTTTGTTGTATCTCCATATCTACAGTTATTCACCGACTCCCCGTCTTCCCGTTTCTCTTCTTCGCTCCATCTCTGTCGCGCACACGCTGTGCGGCGAGTGCGTTGGGATGAGCATGCATGAGGCCGGCGAGATGGGAGCAAATTAGATGGATGAGAGAGGAGATGAAGGAGAGTTGTAGGATTTCTCTTTCTCTCTTTGGCTGTCCATTAGTGGCGGTTTACCACAGCTGTTGTTGTGTTGTTCCCTGTGGTAACACCTCGCATACTCCCTAGTTCCTTCCTGCTCAGGTTCCCTTTTATCTGACAGGTAGCATGGCAGCAGGGCACACAGTGCCTTTATACTCGCTGAGT